AACACTATGAGAAACTGTTTTTGCCATGCTCTTTTGGTCTTGCTGTTGCTAAATAAAGCTGAACTCCAGTCCCATACGGCCTTATGTATGTTGCTAAGCGAATGCAAAGACAACAAGTTCTAGATTGTCCATAATCTGTGATATTCATCTCTGATACGCTAATTGTTAACTAGTGGATTTGATCCCACGGTAATGATGATTATTTTTCGTCGAAATACGAAAAAATTGTTCTGAGACAGCAATCTCGTCAGCTACTGTGTCATTCCAAAAATCATACAAATTTTCCAAAAAATGTCAATTAGCATTACTAATTATTTTCAGAACTGAATTAAATTGAAATCAGCCAAAGCATAAGATGCGATCAGCAAGAGTATTGGAACCCAATAATCAAACCGTCGAAAATTCAGTAATATAACTACAGAATAAATCAATATCCTTTTTGTATGCATATAGATAATAACGGATGTAGCTGGGTTATTTGTTGACCAATCCAAGACAGAATCATCAACACCATATCAATAGGCGATTTTTAACAAGTCCTCGAGGTTTGGCCTTTAAATTGTTATTTTTCAGAAATTTCTTATTCTCATCCTTTCTTGTCTATTAATCATTGATGAGAAGAACTTCACTCAATTTATGCGTTGGTGACAACTTCATTCAATGCCCTTAGAACTTCGCTATCTTGAACTGACTTTTCGTTGAAACCTTCCGATTTGATCGGCTCTTTATTTCCCATCTTCACAAATCTCGATGCAGTTCGGTTTTTTGTCATCCTTCTCCTACACTTCAGAGTCTTTTTCCTATGGAACCATCGAATTTCGCTGTTCAGTTTGCGCTAAATTCTGCCATACATCAAAGTCGCTGCCGAAAAACACCTCATCATACTCCATTCTCAGTCTCTCCCAATCCTCAAGCAATTACGGAAAAAATTGGACTAAACGCCACGAAAATGATGAATTTCTTTGGTGTTCTTCGCATAAAAACGTTCAAAGAACTGGAAAATGGACAAAACAAGAATTTTTGAGTAATATCATGGCTCAACATTTACGAGTATCGCTCAACCAAATAGGATGTTTGCCTTCACGATCCGATGGCATTAACCGATCACCGAACGCCCCTTGCAATCGAATGATGAAAACTTTTCAGACTGCAGTTTATTATAAATATGGATCGTGAAACGCAACAAATAGTAGTTTCAGGACTAATTGAACTTGTAACTTTACCTCTTTGCAGTGATAAAAATTGTGTATAAAATGTGCATTGACTTCATCAAATGCTGTTTGCATTTCAATCAAATTGTTTCTCGTGACAGCGGGTCAAATAATTTTCATTGTTTTTGCTTTTCTTTTATTGTTTTCTTTTTTAAAGTTGTGTAAAGTTTATACAATGCTGTATCACTCTTCGATTCAATGATTTTCTTCTCACTTTGCATTTTCTATCGTCCATGTACCGTACTGTTTATCTGAATTGTTGTGTTCTGTTCGTAAATGCCTCTGTTGAAACAGGATAGCAATCCCTGTTACAACGAAAAATTCTGCATTGTGCTATAAATGTTATCAGATGTTCAATGCGGTAGATCACTTTTTTCTCTGAGAGTACTTAAAACATTATTTACACAATTCCATCAAGACTTTAAAAATTTGTTATATGTCAGAATGACCAACTCCAACATCATGAGCGCTTTTTTCTTGCTGGCACAAGTTGACATCATGAGTATTGAAAAATTTAATTCAAAATCAACAGCACACATCAAATCTAGAGGCAGTCATCAAGGACACGATAATTTAATATTAAGCGCACATCAAATACGCTTCTATTTTATAATCATTATTCAACAATGTATGTTCATTTATGCTGCATCAATATAACGCCTAAAAGCCAGATTCACTCTGTCTGTGTGCAAAAATTCTGCATCTTTACGGTACAAAAACGGTGTTTCTGAGACTTACACTAATATCATTTGATTTCAGTCAAGTGCTGAAAACGTATTTTAAAAGAACCGCTCCAAATCCCTTACGTATTGATCACATGACAAATGATCCAATCAATATTGATGAAATTTTTGAAAACCGCATTCTGAATGTTCCGTATGAAAATTTGCTAGCAGACTGTTGTCGAAATATATTGGTTCGTGATGATTTCCATTTCATTGGCTAATTGAANTGCAGCTTCATCACCTAAAGGCATTCCAGCCAGCGCTGAAAGTGACAATTCTAAATCAGTAGCAAGATAAATACCGTGTTCTATTATTCCGATTTGAACGTTGTATAAGTTGACTGGTATTGGGAGTGACCGCAGCGGGAGATTCATTCCTTTTACGAGTGTACTATTCAGCTCCTGAATAAAAAATGAATTGAAACCGGAGAGACCAAATAACGTTAATAGAAATTTGGTACTTTCTAGCCAACAAGCAATTTGGAATTTAATTCAGAGCTAATAAATAAATTGTTTGTTAATATTCTTGATTAGGATTCTGGGAATGAGCTTTAAACAACTGCTACATTATTTTACTGACTGATAACCTCATTTATAAGAAACAATGCCTCTCAAAACCGCAATGTATTATGAGGAAGTTAACACTGAAAATGAATCGAATCGAACCCTGTTTTTCGAAATTGATTGCAAATTCAGAGGTGGCGTTTAACTGAAAGATTATCTTAGAAATGCATAATAAGCACCTTTCCGACGGCTCCTTTAGCGATGCTAACAATGCCATTTAATGCACCCTGTGATACTCCNAGTGATTTTTCAGTATCAGTCACATTCAACGTTCGTAAGTTAGCTGTACCAGAGAGCGTATAACCAGCTATCCTCAACGATAGATCCAGCAAAACGGTTATCCGCAAATTACCAACTCGTGTCGTTGTCCCGTCCAAAAACATCGTTGCATCCGCTATCAGTTGCACAGTAGCCACTATAGTACTCAACTGTTACTTCATATTTTTGAAACTCATTCGACATGCTCCAATGCTGATTACAATTCGTAAACTTTATAGTGAGCGATCAAGATGATTACCTTGTTTGCGTAATCTGTTCAAGGCAACTGTAATTTACTTCAAATTGCAGGAAAATCAAAAGAAATTGTAACCTCCAGTTCTTGCGCTGAGTATGATTGACGGCGCACGTGCAGTTCTAACAATAAAGTACAACTTCTTGTCGGGATACTTCTCAGCAATGGCTGGCGCAATATCGCCGATGCACACACCCAACGTATCCAAATCAGTTAAACTCTGACGTTTCGACCTTCGTAGTAATCGCAGTATTCTATGCCTCTCAAAATTAATGTCAACGTTGTTATCTCGTTATCGGTGATCATTCACTCATTCAAAGAACTCCTCCAACCAAACCTGTTTGGCGATCATTTAAGAAAGCCGGAGCGGAGTAATCATCTTAATCAAACTCAGTCCATTGCTCAAAATGACGATGGTGTAAGCACCTCTTTTCAATGTTCCATGATTGTTGCACCAATGGAAATGCAGTTGAACTTTCAGGTTGGTAGGGACTGGTTAGATGCAAACCGTTCAGACACTAAATGAAGTGCCGACGGCTCGCAAAAAGCGATTTCATAGTAATTCAAATTCCACATTCGAGTGTTTTTATTTGGAACTCGTGCACAGCAAACAAATGAAAGCTCATCTCAAAATAGAGCAGTAAATGTAATGCAAGTAGCATGAGGCTTATAAATAAACGTGAACATATCATATGTACCATTTTCTTTGGAGACTCCTCCGAAGTATTCTCCTCACTATAGTCGTAATCGTCTCCACAAGTCGTACTCAGCAACTTGCTGAAGGCTGATATCTCTGGCCCGATGCGGATTTTGAAGAATCCGCGCCTAAAAATTGCGTGAAAACTTATTCTGATTTTCAACGAGATAAAATGATTCTCATATTGAATGGGCATCATCGTGCAAAACTCGTAATAACAAACTGAATCACGAGATCTTCAAAGAAGCAGTGAGTGTGCTCATCTGGTGAAGACGACCAAATTTTGAAGGAATATATGCCAACATTAAGGTAGCTCTTCGAAGGAACACTCTTTGTTCTGTTTCAAAACGGCATCTGTAAGGAAATCCCTACCTATGCATCCAGAAGAGCAGTGAATTAATTGTGAAATCACTGACAACAGCCTCAATCATTCGATTTCCAACTGCAGTCGGGAAATAGAGGGGAAATGGCCCGAATGGCGTACCACCCCATCCTCGAGGGCTGAATTCACCCGAAATATCAATCGTAAAATCATTCATCGTTGCAACGGCACCCATTATCTGTACTGATAGAGCAATATCAGCAATTTTGCGCTGAAAATCAATTCGCGACATTCATTTGCGTTAACACTGTATGGAGCGATTGAAAATTAGTGCTTTTGCTGCATAACCTTGGCTTCAATAGATGTCTCCTTTTCGAAAATTGACTGCCAAATTCTTCATATTTCAGATCTTTGTGCTTCATGAAATCGGTTCTATTTTACAGTTTCGAATTTATATCGAATTAATTTCTATATCCAGTAATCTTATGATGCTAGGCAATTAGATATGAACTGACCAAATCCAAAGATCGCAAAAGTACTTGACTCATCTCCTTCTCACTCGCCGTTGGACATCCAGCGCAGGGACCCTTTTTTATTGCTCGTTTCTGAAATTACTTCTGTTAGGATGATTGCAGAAGTAAGGTTTTGTCAATATTATTCCAACGGAAATCACTGCATAGTGAAAGTATAATTTGATGCTCATAATGAGATGATGGTAACAATTGAAAGTGATGACTTCGAAATATAGTTTTAAGATAATGATAAAAAGTGTTATGCAAAGATGGTGATGAAATTTCTCGTGGTACTGAAAGCATTGCTCCATCTGTAATAAAAATCTCGAGTGACAATAACAGTGGCTGATATTATGAACAATGTTGCATGCATGTCTAAAATCACCATCTGTTACCGATTCCAGTCAATTTGTTGCAGTTTCGATAAAATCCATACGCGCAGAACTCTGTCTTTCTCCGAGAAGTAATCGAATAATGCAAAACTCACGCCTCTGATAGCAACCGTCCTTGTTCTTGCAGAGTTGACCCTTTTCATCGAGTAATTATATCGTTGTTTGTAGTTGTATCGTTTCAACGGGTTCTGTTTATAAGATTGTTGTACAGCATTACGAGTGATTGCTGCTGATGATGCTCCAGCTGCTAGAGAGACGCTTGCTGACGGCACGGGAGGTGGAGCGAGATTCTGGGACATTGTTGGTGATGGCACTGGAGGTGGAGCTGGAGTTGGGCTTGGAAGTCCAGCAGCCATTCGCTGACACATCGGTGAATTACACTGAACATTTATACTCGTAACTGACGTCAACTAACATTTACACTCGTAACTAATTCAATGCTTGTCATGTGGAATATCTTTCGAGTAATCGCAAGCACTGCCGAATGATTTCTGTCGCTTCCCACTCGTCCTTAGAAAACACTGTTTAGTCGGACTCATAAGGCGAAAGCATCGATCAAAATTATGCTATTATCAGAGACGATTGCAGATATGCATGAGTCAACTTCAGTAACTCTCATTAGATAAATCACTTGCTAAATTCATGTCGGGAAGTATATATCAACTCATCGAAACAAACCCGATTTAAGAAATCACAGAACGCTGTAAAATGAACGTACCTGAGCAGGAGCTTGTGTTAACGAAGAAAGTGCTGATTTGAGCATCGGGGACACTTGCGCGATTGAGATTTGATGAGGAATACCAGCTAACTTCGGATTGATCATGTTGTTAACGATTTCAGGGAGCATTCCACATACTTTATCGGGTACCATTTTCTTTATTTGCTGCGTCACCATACTCTGATATGACATCGATTATATCATTTTATCACTTACTGCGACAACAACAACTTAACTACCGAATGCGTAGGTACACACCGAAGTAGAACAATACTAATGCTGAGAGAGTCAACAGTGCGATAATCCAGTAAATATGTATGAATTTGTCGCCTCACTGAAAGAATACAATTCAGCTGCACTGCAAACAATGAAAACACGCAGGGCCGAGTGATTATGGCGATGTTCGAAAATTTATTGTTGCATTTTGGTGGTGAATTCAAATTGTTACAGGCAAAGAGATATTGAAGCGTACTCTGAAGAAAGCATTTATCGCCCAACCGATAATACCGCCATTTAAAACGTAAACGTTCACGTGGCCAATATTTGCCATGCATCCAGTTACTTGAACAGATAACGCACCAAAATTGTTTCGCATCATTTCAAATTCGACTTCTACAGAAATCTGAATTAGGTGAAAGCTGAGTAATAATGACAATAAGAATGACTGCACATTCAACTAATTGGAGGCGAGTCACTTCGTTGTTATATGAATCAGTTAGTGTATTCGAATGAAACGAATTTCCAAAAGGTACTTTTTCGTAATTTTCAGAATGCCTTTTTCATGTTCAGTTGGAATCTGAATGATTTCTCGCACTATCTTAGGTCATTTTCAGTTATGCAGCTATTTTTCGATTTGGAAATATGACATCATATATTCTGCATTTTTCTGCATTGTGACGTAAGGTGGGGAATTTTTTTGAGAAATTGGTTAGTTTCGGATCTCCATAAAACTGGTTCTTCATCGCTGTTCGTTGAACATATCTTCATCTCTTTGATGTGGGGCATTCCTAAGACACAAAATGCTTCCTTTTTCTGGCTGGGGTTTGTGCTTACGCTTGGACGAAGCTTCGCTTGTCCGTACACTTAGGATGGGGTTTAGGTTTGGCATCGTTTTTTAAATTCGTCTCGCTATGGCAGCAGTTAGGACATCTCTTTGTGCTCTTTAACCGCCTTTCATTCATATGACGTTTGCATATTCATGATATAAAGTTCACAGCTACCAAATCGTGATTTTTTTGAGAATGAATAATTGAAAGAAATGAACTTGTTGTCAATGGAATGCACCATCAGATTACATTCGCTGCTAATGTCAACACCAAGTTATAGTAAGCTTGAGTTATTGATTCGTTACGTTATTACACTACGGATAATATTATTGTTATCAAATTCTTTTTTTTACAACTTATCAAGGCAGATGTGTGGTTAGTAGTTTCAGGCTCCCCTACAGTTTTGGGAGTAGGTGCAGATCGCTTGGTTTGAGTTATTGTATGTATAAGTTATCTTGGATAGAGTGAATCAGGGTGCAGTGTCTCTAAATAATTTAATTGAATGTTTTAGAAAGTAGATAGAAGTAAACTGTTATAAATAGTGACAAATGACTGATCTTGACCTGACTAGCATCCATGCAGATAATACCGAATAAACGAAGTGGTATCAAAACGTTAATTTGTCCTCCAAGATGTCCCATTATTCTCAAATGCTTATTGATAAAGATAATATTATCAGTAAGATTTTAAAAAGTGTTTCTCAACTCGTTTTTAAAAGTACTTTCACATTTGCTGTTTTGTCCATCAATGTGAACATATATTCAGAAATGATCCGTGCTGAAACTTTTAGATGGCAGTAATATACTAAACCCATTCCCATTCGTCTTTTGAGAGAACAGCAGTTGCTTGAGTAGCCGAAAATTTGAAGAAATCATTAAAGATTAATCAAATTTACTTCATAGCAAGATTTTGAACTGAAATTCGTATTCGATCGTTTGGAAACGGATAAATTGAGACGAATTGTGGACACTGATACCGCACTATGCGTATTCCATAGACTCTTACGCATCCATTCACCTGAATTGAAATCTTGAGCATTGCATAATAGATTTTGATGTAGCCTGCAAAGGGCATTCAAGGTTTAAGTGAGAAGATTTAATGCTTGATGCTCTTGCTAGATCGGCACTATATCATATTCGTTTATGTCATGCAAAGTTTACAGCTCACTATGCTCCGTAAAACGCTGTCTTGACTTCGGAAGCAATCAAACTGCGGACGAGATAGACCGAATTATTTCTTTTACCCACAAAACAACTTCATTATTTTGCTGCGCATTGCGAGCTGTTTACGACCTGCATGAAATTCTGTCAGACACTGATACCTCCATTGTATCCTTTCGGCTTATAGCACTAAAGGTGAATTTTAGTGATAAAGAGAACCTGAGCTACACATTGATTGATGTCGGGAATTTGTGCACGTGCGATTTGTTGAGTGAGGATATTAGCTGCTTTAACACTAGCGTAACGAAACATCGCTGCATTTGCGCGCACTCGTATACCAGGATATCCCCGGGACCCACCCAACAGCAACGGATTGAAATCCAATGAGTTCATCATCGCAATCCTCAAAATTGAATTATTACNTCATAAGAGAATGCTGGCGGTTTGTGATGTACTCTACAAACGTTATCTTACTCCCGGTTCACGACACATCCGCGAAATTCGGCTTAGTACCTGTGAATACAATGAGAATGCTGTGAGATCTTCCCATGGAGATTTTAGCCTTCCCGTGAGATCGCTTCAAAGTCTGTCTCGGTTTTTCATCGTTCAATTGCTGAGATGCGTGCTAGTGCAACGCTGAAGTCAAGCTGAATTTGGTTGCCTTTATAGTGCATCAGAAATCATCAGAGGTTGTGAACTGTTAAAACTATCGGTTAACGTCGAGCAATTAAACACTTTACAATATAACAACAGTAACCGGTTTTCTAATCCACATTCCACAGACACATTTGTTCCTTAAGCTACAAGCAAACCGAAATTCCCTGTGATTCATTGACATTTAATGAAACCGAACAGGAAATGCCAAAGGTGAAATTTTCAACAATACTGGAAGGTTTAGCGATGATATCTTCCAAAGTGCTCTCAACGCTTTGGTGGAACTCAATTCACTTTTTACAATTCATTCGTGCAACTAAAGGCAATCATTTATTCATGAATAATTTTGAAGGGATTGAATAAAAGTGGGAAGGAATGTGTAATAATCATTCCGGTAAGGTTGCCATCGTATAATATGGCCTTGAAAAAAAACCACTAATAACGGATGTGAATAAATGAATTTCCATTCTGAATTTGAAAATTCATTGCAACAGATTCATTGGTTAAGTCTGCAAATTTTCGTTTTCATTTAGTGTCTCACTGTTGAGATAGTTGGCTCGATGATTGCGAATAACGAGTGAAATTAGTTGATTGTATTATACTCTGCGTGCAATGCAGTTTTGTATGTTCATCGCAACAACGAGTCACACCCAAAAACGAAATCTCAGCAAAAAATTCATTGCACCTTACAATCACGCAAACAATTCGAT